GCACATTTGCACCTAAAAAGGTCTGGGCATGTGCAGAAAATTAAAAAAAAGGGGGGAAAATTACATTACTGCAATGAAAATTGTTCTGCACATGCGCATAACTGAAAATCAAGATGGTGCCGCTATAGGAGAACTGGTTTGGTGGCATGGCAGGCTTGGGTTGCTGCCAGTTCTAGCGACCCAGGCTACCAAGTTACTACTGGTTCGGCTGAACCAGTCCAAATCAGTAGGAACCCACCTCTGATGTAAATGTAGTACATTGCCTTGATGATGCAATAGTTAGAATGCAGCATTGCAGGCTAACTCTGCCCATAGCCTGAAATTTGATCCTAATGGGGCTTGAAGATGGCTCAGCCTTCCATCCTTTTAAGGTCGGTAAAATGAGGACCCAGATTGTTCAGGACGATATGCTGACATTGTAAACTGCCCAGAAAGTGCTGTAAAGCACTATGGAACAGTCTAACTGCTATTTCAATTGCTAATAATAAGGTCCTTTCCTCAAATCTCACTATATTACAATTGAAAAATCAACAGGAAATCTTTGTTCTTGTTCAAAATTGCCCTGAATGTACACCTTTTATTGGGGAAAAATTACTCAAAATATTAATTTTGAAATGTATGATATGTGAAGAATAATTATATTCAAATGTGCATGTTACTTTGAGGAGTAGCATGTTATTGCTATTTGATTATTTATTGTTTATATATTTTAATAGCTTTTAATGTTTATAAACCTCCCAGAGTCACTTCTTGGTGAGATGGATGGCAAACATGTCTAATAAATAGAATAAAATAAATAATTATTGTTATCTGGTTTTTCTTTCTCAAATATATTATTGTTATAGAGATTAAATCAAAATATAACTATACACTGTTTTAAATTAATTAAAATCCTTAATATCACCTCAGTATAGTTTTTAAAAAAAATGAAATATGAATTACCGATAAGTTCCAAAAATTGCATAATTGATAGAACTGAAAATAATCTTAGGAGGAAAAAAAATAAATTGAATACAGTACCTTTATTTGATATGTCTACCTAAAGGTCATATTTAAAAAAGAATTCAGCACTTTAAAATATTTAAAACCATGATCTTGATTTACATGCAGTTTTGGAAATGTGCAAAAGCTGTTACATGAATTTATCTTTTAAATTTTTTCATGTTTATATTTCTTTTGTCTTTGCATGCATGTACTTTCTATAATTTTATAGGTGGGCTCATGTCATGTGTGCAATTGCTATACCTGAAGTCAGGTTTGGTAATGTCACAGAGAGAACACCAATAGACACGACCAGGATACCTTTGCAGAGATTGAAACTGGTGAGTAATATTAGTCTAAATTGTTACTATAATATATAATTTACAGTTGTAGTGAATTTTACAAATTATTATATAAACAATAGGTGCATTGATTTATTTTCAATGAGTATACCATAAATTTTGCTATTCCTTATGCCTTAAAGTAGCAGACTGGAAACATATACATTCATCTGCAAGATTATAACATGACAAGGTTTAGTGTTTTTTTTTCTTTAGTGTTTTACTCTTTCTTGCTTTTATTTATTTATTTTGCTCTACTACCAGCTATAAAACCCTAATTTCTTCTTACGTTTCTAAAATAGGTAAGTTGAAGTATTTACACAGAAGGACAATTTTTCCAGCTATTATTGCTGATAAATTTGCTAACTGTATATCACAAAGTTCTGCCTCAGCAAGCATCAAATGACAAGTGTTCTTTGGAAAATATTCTTGGTTCTACTGTAAGAGCCAGCATGGACAACAAAACATAATGTAGAATTAACTGAAACCTTGTAGAACATTCGGGTATGGTTATTTATATATCCAAATAAATATAATGTAAAGAACATACACAATTGTTTATATGCCAAACCATAGAAAGGCCAGGGAATGGATTGGGTTTTGTGTGTGTGTGTGTGTGTCTGTGTGTTGATTTTTATTTGAAAGAGGATGTACAATCAGGTGTATTACATGCATTGGAAGGCTAAATTTTTCTAACAATAATTTTTGTGTTGGCTTCTAACCATAAATAGAGATATGCTATTGCCATCTGATTAAAATTCTGAAACCAAATCTTGAGATGATGAAAGGCATCAGGTAGACAAAGGAAAAATGTAATAAAGCTTAGCTCATGACAAATAAATCAAATTTATAGATATCCATATCATTACGAACACGGGGGGGGAGGGGATTCTAGATTTACTTATGTGATAACCATGTTTGTAAGCATTGGGGTACCAATAGGGTACATTAAATTGAAAACTGTTGATGTTCCATGGTCATGGTCATATAACAGGGAAAATTCTTAAAATTGAAGGGACTGATGAAAAAGATACTGGGAGGAAATATTACGATGAACAAATCTGTTTCTGCGTAGAGTTTATTTAAAATCATAAGAATTGAGACTTATCCAGGATTGTCCAACAGATCTGGACAATTTACATCTAGTCTTTAACATCCTCTTTTTGGGGAAGATGGTTGAGAAGGTGATGACTTATAGCTTGAGAGGATTTAGGAAAAAGCAAATTATCTGGCATCCTTTCAGTCAGGATTGAGGCCTGGCCATAATACTGGCATAGCATTGGTTGCATTTTTCAGTGTCCTTTGATGAGCTTGGGATGAGAGTACTACTGTACATCACCCTGGTCTTCTGTTCTCTCAGCAACCTTTGTTCCCCTTGATCCTGTATCCTTCTGGGATGAATCAGAGGATTAGGAGTGTGAGACATTGTGCTATGGTAGTTTTCCCTTCTTTGTGACCAGTTCCAATCAATGTTGGTAGTGGGCTGAGGTTAAGTCAGAGATCCCTACTTTGTCAGAGGCCCCTCAGGCTTCTACTTTCTTTTAATTCCTATTTACCATTTAAGATGCTGGAGAGAGATCATTTGTGGTCATGAGATGTACATCTAATGATGATGTGCCTTTTTGTTTTGGAGGTTACTTTAACAGGTTGTCATGGGGTTATATACTGTTGTGGTAGTTGTGTACATTGCCCACAGTCATTGCTGTGGGTTAGGATTAGGCGTTCTATAAATAATTTAAATAAAAAATAAATTCTACAATAATAGAAGTCCAGAAAGAATCCAGAATATCTATTTATCAGCATTCTATAAAAAGCTTCCTCTAGGCCTGTGGTGGTTAACCTTTTTCTAAAAGTGTGCCAAAACTGCGTGCGCGTCTGCTGTTGTGCATGCCCACCCACCTGCGCATGCACAAATGTCCCCTACATGTGCATGTATGAGTGACCCCCCCACTGTGCATGTGAGAATGATCCCCATGCAGGGGGGGTATTTTCACCCTCCCCAGGCTCCGGAGGCTTTCGTGAAGCCTAGGGAGGGTGAAAAATGGCCCAATGGTCCAACCGGAAAACTTCCGGTTTGGCCGTTGGGCCTGTTTTTCACCCTCTCCAGGCTTTGGAGGCTTTCCTGAAGCCTGGGGAGGGTGAAAATGTCTCTCCTGTCCTCCTGAAGGCCAAAAATCAGCTGGCGCATCAGAGCTGAGGACTGCCAAGGGTGACCTTGTTGGCAAATATGGCTCCACATGCCACCTGTAGCATGCGTGCCATAGGTTTGCCATCATGGCTCTAGACAATGTGAACCTAATGAGGACACTAAATTTGCAGAAAATATGTATGTTATAAGGAATTATAGAAGTCCATTAAAGCATTAAAGGAATTGATAAAAACCTATATATTTAAACCTGAAAAGTGGTCAAAGTGGTTGGGTTGTTAGACAACAAAATAATTGAATGGATGCTCAAGAAGAATCTGGAGATTGCTGAGAAACTAAATGAATTATTTGCATGTGTCATTGGTACAGAAGATATAGGATAGATAACAGATTGGATTCAATACACGATGACAGGAAATTTGACTGTTCTTTTTGGTTTGGGGTTTTTCCATGAGACATCTTACTGTGCTAACAATGTTCGTTGTGATTACTTAAATATATCTTAATTCTCCTGTAATCATAGGTTTAGAGGACAATATATGATAGATTTATTGAAACTACTAGTATTTTGATTGTAAAGTGAAGATTAAATAATAATAGTACCTTTCCCCCTCAGATAAAAAAAAAAAAATGAAACTCAAATGGACCATAGCATATCAATATGTATCATGTATGAATTTATCTTTGAGATCCAAGTCTTCAACAGCTGAAAATAAGGAAATTGCCAACAGTTGCTCGAGTCAGGAGCACAGATGTTCATTATACACATGAAGTGTCTGGTTAACTCACAAACAGCAAGAAGAATATTTTATTTTTAAAAATAGCTAATGTTTTCACTCCCCTCAGGGAAAAAAGGGTAAAACAGCTTCTATTTACTCAAGCAATGAACTGTTCATATGCTTTGGACTTTTACATTGTCAGCATTAATCTTCATAAAATTCCAGATGTTCTGAGTGTTTTGTATGTGTATAAAAAAATGAAAAAAACATTTAAAATACTGGCTAAGTCAATTCAACAATAATTTAATTATGAAGTTCAGAGCTGGTTTCCCTCCCAGAAAACTTTTTTGGGGTAAAGAAAAAAGACATTGAAAAAAATAATTATTTAT